GTGAGTAGTTACATGAGCAATCCAGGAAAGCAACATTGGGAAGTAGTAAAGTGGATTCTTAGATATTTGAAAGGTACTAAAGATTCAGCATTATGCTTTAGGAGGTCAGACTTAAAGCTACAAGGTTATGTGGATGCTGATATGGCCGGTGACATTAATAACCGCAAGAGTACCACGGGCTATGTCTTTGCATTAAGTGGTATAGCAGTCAGTTGGATTTCAAAGTTACAGAAGATTGTTGTTCTTTCCATTATAGAGGTAGAGTATGTTGCTATGATAGAAGCTAATAAGGAGTTAATATGGTTACAATGGTTCCTAGATGAATTAGGTCAGAATTATGAGAAGAGCGCTTTGTATTGTGATAGTCAAAGTGCAATTCACCTGGCAAAGAACCCAATCTACCATGCTAAGACAAAACACATAGAAGTTTGTTACCATTTTATACGCTCATTTTTGGAAGGAGTTATATATAGCTCTCGAGAATATTCAATGGAGTAAAAATCCAGCTGATATGTTTACAAAGGTGGTTGCCATTGAGAAATTGAAGTTGTGTACAACTTGTTGAACTGCTCGCTTGAAGAAAAAGAAGTTGATGCCACTGCTAATGGAAGTTAAGAATTGAAGACATGTTGAATTAATTCCTAGTAGGAAATTATTAAGATTGTAGAGCCAAATTCAATCCAAATTAGAGTTGGATTAGGACATGAGTTTTCCTAATTTGTGTTTAAGTAGAATTGTTTTTCTGTTAGGAATACAATTGGAAATATGATTAAAATTGTTTTAGGAATTAAAATATAATTCCTATTAGGATATGAGATTTGAGTCTTATTAGGAATTGTGTCATATGTATTACCTATAAAAGGGAGTTAAGTTCTAGAGTTAGATATCACAAATTTAATAGAAGCCAAAACCACAATTAGAGAGTGAGAGCCACCAAATAGGGTTTGGTGAGTGAACTAATTTGTGAGCCATAAGAGATTCTTGTAATATTTCTTCTTCTTCATAGTGAAATTTCGTAGCAACAAAGGGGATGTAGCTCTCATATGGAGAGTGAACCACTATAAATCTTGTGTTTATTTGTGCGGTTATTTTGTGTTCTTTGTTTGCATTATTTTCGCTTTTAGGGATTTAGAATTTACTAATATTCAATTAAATCCCCCGACAAGCTTTCTAGCTTTGCAGATACAACCTAGAATTCAGATTTGAGCTTTTTCTAATATTTCCTTTTAAACTGAACATCTCTCCATATTGAAAATTCCTGCTTACTACAATAATGTAAGATATTATTGAAGTGGTTGCGTAATACACTTACGTTATTCAAGATTTTGTTTTTGGGAACATGAGACTAAACTTTTTAAAAAATTGTCATGACATAAAATATTAATTTTGGCACCTCAAGACAATATTATATGGGCCAAATTATGTGATTGTTTTCCACAAAGTGGTCTCTTGCTTTGTACTTTGTATTATTTAATATATTTAGTATTTCTCAATCCTGTTATAAAATAGTTTGATGTCGGAAAACTTTTTGACCAAACAAATATTCTAAGTAATCATGAAAAATAAAATATTATCACTAAGGGAATCTCAAAAGGCCCGGCTCTCTCTAACGATGATCACGTTTTGATATATTAAAGATAATTTTTATTAGTATTTATTGATTTAATTTTCATTTCATTAATTAAAGTTCAATAATTCAACCGAATAAAATAAGGTTATGGAGAACAACACTAAATTCAGTCAATTAAATAAATTAAGTACACAAGTAACACATTTGTGGAAAAGATCCGATAATTTCTAGTGGTTTGATATTAAATTAATTATGATCTCTCCTTAGCTTTCAGCAACAAAAGATTTTCAATTTGAAGATCCTTTCAAGGGAAATCACGCTCTTAATTGTAGCCCCTAATTAGAAGGTGAATTAATCAATCTCTTGCACAAGCATTACATGCATATAGGGATGTATGGCTATTTGATATATTAAAGATTTTAGAATAAATTAAATTAAACTATAAAAATAAAAGACAAAATAAAACTCTTACTTCTAAGTAGGATAAACTTTATTTTTAGTCCCATAATCCTTGAGTGAATTAATAGGTCCCAAATGCAGAGAATGAAATGATCAGATATTTGTCTTCTCTTTGGGTGAGAAGTGTACCACAGTTTGCATAGAAATAATTACTTGCTTTCATTGATGACTGCGGTTGCTTAAATAAAGCAAAGCCTCGTACAAGTAAACCGAAATAAAGGGAAACTAACTGAACTGCAATCCACGTAAATAGACACGTAAATAACGTAAACAAATAAACCGAAATAAAGAGAAACTAACTGAACTGCAATCCACGTAAATAACGTAAACAAAACACTCCAAAAGTTAAGCATAACTAATGCACGTAAATCGGTGCGTAAAAGCATAACTCATGCATGTGATTTCGTGCGTAATCCTGCAACTGAAATTCGCAAGAAATCTTGCAACTGCCTTGACCCATTCCTGCTCGTCACGACCAGCTTATCTGCTTGACCTATTTCTGCTTGTCACGACTAGATTATTCCTGCTTGTCACGACCTGCTTATCTGCTCGACCCATTCCTGCTTGTCACAACCAGATTATTCCTGCTCGTCACGACTAGCTTATCCCAAGTATTTGAGATTTGGTCGCCTGTCTCTTGCTGATCGTCGTGGCCTAACATAAATCATATACATATACTTTGTTTTTCATCTGTTCAAAATAAGCTACAAGTATTTTTTTATGAAAAAATATTTATCTTAATCACAAATCTCTCGTCTCCTTCTTTTCTCTTTCTTTTTGTTCTATACATTTTCATGTTCTTTCTAATAATTTACATCAATTTGTCACTCATTTTAAATTATGTTAACAAATTTTATATTAATTATTGCTCTTTATTTCACTTAAGTTAAGACATTTTAAATTTTATATAACAAATTGACGTAAATTGAATTTTCAATATTTTTGCTAAAAAAAATGAATCAATGTTCTAACTGGGTTTTTCTTTAATGATAATATTATTGGGTTTTTTTTTCTTATTATAACTATTGTAAAAATTAATTTAAGCTGGAATCATATTATATATTATATATTGATAATAATTATTGTATAATTTTTTAACACATTAGAACAAGTTAAGAATGATTATAGAAATATTAAAAAAAATTATGAGTTATCTTTAAATTTTATTATTTTTATTTTATTTTATTTATTTTTGATGACGTATGATATTATGGAAATGGATGACGCGGTAGACTTGATGTAAGTCAATTTATATTATGGAAATGGATGACGTTGCACACTTGATGTCAGTCAAGTCTTTGTTAGTGTGGAACCTGACACTGAATTATTGAAATGGATGACGTTGCACGCTTGATGTCAGTCAAGTCTTTGTTAGTGTGGAACATGACACTGAATTATTGAAATGGATGATGAGTAATACTAAGTGTATCAACTAATTTGTACTAATCTAAGTATTAACAGTTGAAATTTTGAAATTTTTTTTTTTAGTTTTTGGAAGGAACTGACATAATAATAAGAGAGATCCATCACGATAATTAGTACTTGGATTGTATGAATTTTAGTTAGTACACATAACATTATTCATAGATTATTATTGAAATAGATGACTGTGATACACTTAATGTAGGTCAAGTCTTTGTTAGTGGGGAACATGACAGTGAATTATTGAAAGTTGTCCTTTGCTATATATATATATATATATATAAAATAAAACAAAATCAATGACCTTGTATTACTATTTTTTCTACTGGTAGTAGACCCAGGATTATAAGTTTTCAAGGTGGAATCACAATATAAATTTAGTTTTAAAAATTAGCATGTAATTCAAATTTTGCCAATATTATTAAAATAATGCAAGATGATACATTTGTTGTAAAAAAAATAAAAATATTTGAGGATAATTGGATAAAAGAGAGGAAACATATTTTTATAAGACCAAATTTATTTTTTTATTCATTTATCAAAAACGACAATATAGCAAGTTTAGGAGAAACGGGTATCAGTAGTACATTTTTCAAACTTCGAAGGTCTATCTGATAAAAGGTGCGAAAATTGTAATCTGAATTAGTTTATTAAAAAAATATATAAATAATGTATTAATAAAAAATTGTGTTACATCAATTTCTATATAAAAATTTAGATTATACATATAATGCCACTTTAAATAAATAATTAAAGTATAATGATATAAAATATTATTGAAATGGATTACAATACACCTTGTCATTTAATCACTGGTCGTTTCAGATTCTGCGTGACAATCACTGGTCATGATTTATAAAATATAATCTTTTGGCGCCTCAAAACAAAATTAGTAGTCCACAAGGTCAAGGTGGTCTCTTGCTTTTTAAAGTGTTTTTTATTATTTAATAAATTTCAGTATACCTCAATCATGCATATGAAATAGTTTGATATAGGAGAATTTCTTCAATAAATTAAATTTAATACCTGAATTCATTAAAAAATTAAGGAGAGAATATTCTAAGCATTTTTGGGTATAAAAAATATATTAAAAAGAAACAAATCAATTTACTTAACCATAGTCAAGTCTTAGAATTAGGTAACATTATACTTGCAATCCAATCTCACAAACTTTAATGTGGTGGTTCGCAATTAATCAACTCGTAAATAGGTTCTATCTGTCCAATTGCGAACTGACCAATTATGTGATGTCACGTCGAGATTGTAAGAGAAAATTTGTAAGATTGAATTATGGATAAATCTTTATTGCTTTGAATTATAGTAAAACAACATTTTTCATTGTAGCAAAGTTCTCTCATCAATTTCTACCGATAATTTCTAAAATTCTTTTAAGGATTATACTGTATGAAACTAAATCATCTAAAACCTATTCTTTGACATATATTTTATGGCTTTTTTTTATTTACATCTTGAAACTTGTTGATTTTTCCCGTCTTTTTATTTTATTAACAGAAATAAATTTAATCCGTAATCGATCAGAGATTGGCCGGCCCCTTCATCCTAGCCTGTGGTCTGTTCTTCCACTCACACACCGTGGCCTCTTCTTATAAAAGCAGCCTGTGGCCTCTTACCAGAATTATGTCCCAAAAATAATCCCAAACTTTCTTTAGTCATCTTCTGTAAACAAATATTATGAGAAATTGCTAGGAAGGATGACTAAAACACTTAGGTAAACAAGTATCCTAGCCTATGGCCACCTCTTCCCCAGAATCATTTCAATCAGATATGGAGCAGTGTGTAATCATACAGTTGGCCAATCCATCACAGCCCGTGGCTTCTTCAACTCAGCATATGGCCTTGTCTTCATCTCAACTTGGTATTTAAGTACCAGAATATGGCAATGAACTTTCATAATTAAGCAAATACATAATTTTTTTTTTTTTTTCTGTTTGTTTTCTTTATTGCAGACGATCTAAAAAAGTACCTACCATTTTATAAAGCTATACTCGGAGGCGACTTACTATATGTACAGGAAGTCTGTAACCAGGATGAACATGTGTTAGAAGCCAGGATCACGGAAAACTCTGACACAGCTCTTCATGTAGCTGTAGGAGCAGTCACCGCGAATCATATATATCGTGGAGTATCTATTGACTAAGATGTCAAATGATCAGATGGCACTCACAAATAAAGACGGCAAAAGTGTGCTTTCAGTTGCTGCAATTGTGGGTAATGTCCAAGCAGCCAAGAAGATAAGGAAGAAATGGCCAGATTTATTGGATATCAAAACACTTTTAATTGAGGCTGCTCGACGTGGCAATAAGGAGATGATTACCTATTTATTGAAATTCACGGATAGAAACTTGCTGTATTTATTGAGTTTTGTTCGTTCATTGGCTAATAATCGCTGGATTTTATGCTGAGTTAATTCTTCCATTAGCTACTACTAATTACCGATTAATTAGTTCCAATGATTATATATATAAATATATATATATATATCTATATATATTATATATATATATGAAACCTGATGTAACAAACAAAAAAAAACTTTAGAATATGCCGAGTATTTTCAAAGGAATTATCAGGCTTAAATGAAATGCATTGGAGAAGAGAATATAAAGAAAACTTCCGGCCAATGCATGGGGATAGCAGGCCAACAAACTTTCGACCACATTATGTGACCTAATGACAAGTGTCAATTGACCACTAAAACTAACTCACAAGGAATAATATTTTCGTAACAAATAGAAATGTGATAGGTGTAAATACATATCTGGCAAGACAAGTGTAATCACATGGACAATAAGGGTAGTGAACCAGAAAGACATAGAATCAATTATGCATAAGCAAGAAGATGTCATGACATCCATTGAGTTCATAATTTGACAAAAATACCTACAATTATTGTAGTATTTGTAGCACTTGTCGACGTACCGGGTGATTACGACAATGATGGAGCCACATAAGGAAAAGAAGGGGTAGTTACCCAAAAAAATTTCTTAAATACAGTTAAACCTCGATAAATTAATATCTTTGGCATCATGAAAATTTATTAATTAATCGATATATTATTTAATCATATAAATTAATAAATTATTAATTTATCGGGGCATTCTTTGTTTTCTTTTTCCAAAACAATGAACTTAATGCATGTAAATATTGTGATAGTTAATATGGTAAGGGAATGGCTCATAGTTAATGTGGCATAGCAATTAGTCTATAGGAACTTATTTTCTCCTTGTAAATATTAGACTATATTTAGTCTTGTTGTTTATAAATAAATGAGTGTTTTTTTCTTGGCACTCAAGCAATTCACAAATCCCTTTCAAAATCTTCTCTCAGTCTCAGGGTTTCTCGATTTCAAGTTGTTACTAGGGTCATCTCCTAATTGAGTCATGTATATATATAATTTTAATGTATAAAGAGATTATTAATTTATATATCAAATGGTATCTATGCGTTTTCTTTTAAAATGTATTATCTTATAAATTTAGCAAAATATTGATTTACCATATTGGTCCCAAGTCAGGACTGGTCAAAAATATTATTTAATTAAGATTATTAATTTATTGAGTATTAATTTTTCAAGGTTTAACTATATATTGCATTTTAAATATCCTTACTTGAAGTTTTACTTGTTTCCAAATCCTATTTTTCATCTATACAAAGTAAGCAACAAGTATAAAATAATTATATATTTAATGATATTTATATTAAAATATCGTATAACCTTTTTAACACATTAGAACAAGTTAAGTATGATTAAAGAAATATTAAAAAAATTATGAGTTGTCCTTAAATTTTATTATTTTTATTTTTGATATATTTATTTTATTTTATGTCATTTTGCTTTCATGACGTATGAAATTATTGAGATGGATGACGTGGTACACCTTATGTAATTCAAGCCTTTGCCCGTGAAAAACATGACACTAAATTATTTGAAATTGCAGTCATAAATTATTTGATACCTGTCCCTTGCTTTTTAAATTATTGAGATGGATGACGTGGTACAACTTTTTGCATTTTTATAATATATATTCTCTACCAACATGTTGATCTCCATTTTAAATTTAGAGATATATTCCAAACATTTCCCAGGTAAAATCAATGTATATTAATTTATTTATATAAAATAATACACAAAATAAAACAAAATCAATGACCTTGTATTATTATTTTTTCTACTGGTAGTAGACCCAGGATTACAGGTGCTCGAGGTGGAATCAAAATATAAATTAAGTTTTCAAAATTAGCAAGTAATTCAAATTTAGTATTAAAAAATATAATCTATACAAAAAAGTAGAATTTTCTATATGATAATAAGGTAGATGAATTTTTCCAAAAATATTAAAATAAAGCAAGATAATATATTGGTTGTTAAAAAAAAAAAAAAAAAAGATTTGAGGATAATTGGATAAAAGATAGAGGAAACACCTATTTATAATACAAATTTATTATTTTATTCATCTATCACAAACGTCAATATAACAAATTTATGGCAAATGGGATTACTAATACCCATTTGATAAAAGGTGTAAAAATTGTCATTTGAATTAAGTTTGGAAATCTTAAACTGATGTGGTACATAGTTTGTATACAAATATATACCCAAGTCAACTCAATAAATGTTTAATAAAAAATATATAAATAATGTATTGATAAAAAGTTGCATCACATTAGTTTATAAAAATTTATAAATAAAAAATTAAAGTATAAATGATATAAAATACTATTGAAATGGATGACAACGAACTTTTTTAAAAGTCTGTGGCCTATTCTTCCACTCACATACGGTGGCCTCTTCTTATAAAAGCAGCCTGTGGCCTCTTACAAGAATTATGTCCCTAAAATAATCCCAAACTTTCCTTAGTTGTCTCCTGTAAACAAGTATTCTGAGAAATTGCTAGGAAGGACGACTGTTTTATCATTTGGCCACCTCTTCTTCAGAATCATTTCAATCAGCTATGGAGCAGCCATCACAGCCTATTCCTTTGGCCACCTCTTCTTCAGTATCATTTCAATCAGCTATGGAGCAGCCTGTCATCATAGAGATGGTCAATCCATCACAGCCCGTGGCTTCTTCAACTCAGCATATGGCCTTGTCTTCATCTCAACTTACGGGTATCTAAGTACCAGAAAATGGCAATGAACTTTCATAATTAAGCAAATACATAATTTTTCTTTTTTTTTTTCTGTTTGTTTTCTTTATTGCAGACGATCTAAAAAAGTACCTACCACTGTATAACGCTATACTCAGATTCAACTTACAACACGTACAAGAAGTCTGTAAGGAGGATGAACATGTATTAGAAGCCAGGATCACGGAAAACTATGACACAGCTCTTCATGTAGCTGTAGGAGCAGTCACTGCGAATCATATCGTAGAGTATCTATTGACTAAGATGTCAAATGATCAAGTGGCACTCACAAATAAAGACGGCAAAACTGTGCTTTCGGTTGCTGCAATTGTTGGTAATGTTCAAGCAGCCAAGAAGATAAGGGAGAAATGGCCAGTCTTATTGGATATGAAAACACCTTTGATTGAGGCTGCTCGATATGGGTATAAGGAGATGATTACCTATTTATTGGAATTCACGGATCGAGACTTGCTGTATTCCTATCCGGTTGAAGATAAAACCGGTGTTTCGTTCGTTCATTGGCTAATAATCGCTGGATTTTATGGTGAGTTAAGTACTCTTCCATTAGTTACTACTAATCACCGATTAATTCGTTCCACTTTCAATTAATTACATATATATGGTTTTTTTTTTTTTTTTTTTTTTTTTCTGTCCATCGTTTTATGTCTCAGACTTAGCTATAAGGGAGGTTGAAGATTATCCAAAATTAGCTCTAATGGAGTTCGATTTAGATAATGATGAGGGTCGTGAGACTCTTCTATGTACAATAGCTAAAAAGCGGAGTGTGTTTTCCATCGAAAGAAAGCTAAATTGTTGCCAGAATACCATCTACAAATGTCAGCGTGAGTATAATTAACATATATCTCATATAATTCTAGTTAATTTTTTGCGTGAGTATAATCTAAACTATAAAAATTATTAATTAATTTATTAACTTTAATTCTATTCAGTGTTTTGCAGATATATATTTTTGCAAAGGAAAATAATACAGCCACCGACGGTAGTACGTCGAATTTATGCACCGAATAACGTGACAAAACTTAATATTAATCAACGGTCAGGATTTTATCACGTCATTCGGTGCACAAATTTGGTGCACAACCGTCGATGGCTGTAGCATTACTCTTTTGCAAAATGGAGTTTCTAATTGTTTTGAGCTTTGCAGGTATTTTTGTAACGGTACACCACATAGCAAGCTACATGATTAGAAACATGTTGTTCATCCAAAGCTGCAATCGAAAAATGATGCCGTGCATATGGAGCAACAACCAAAAAATGATGTCATGCATCCCAAGTTGCATCCGAAACATCTGGTCGAGGTATATCCATGACATTATATCAGGTAATTGGTTGATCTGCTTCATTCGTCATGACACAATCAATTACGTATGAAGTAAGTGATTAGTGATAATTATATGTTAAATTACTTGGTTTAGTATAACATCCAACTGTTGTATCTAACTATCTATATTGTTTGCAAAATCATGGCAGGATGCATAAAAGATCTTAATAATACAATAAGTAAATTAAAACTCCTAATTATATGTTTACCTCGTATGTGTACGTTAAATGTGCGCAAAGGCAAATGACATTGATTGTAGGATGAGCCATAGATATTCGGAACGCCAGAAGGAAAAGTCCCTCTAGTATATTTGACATTTATGGCCTCTTGATTTATCCTTTCAAATGACAAACGTCTAGACTTTGTTGATATCCGTGGGTCATAAATTAGATTTCCACGCGACCTAAACAACCTGGGTTGGGCTAGAGTGCATTTTAAAAGTCTAAACCTGAGAACAAGCCCATGTTTTTCGTTATCTAAGCCTGGGTCGGGCTTGTCAAGGCTTTTGGCCCAAGTTTTGTGGAAAAATTAAGGGTATTTTTGAAATTTTACTTGATTGATGATGGCTAGATGTAAGTTTCAGGGCCTATTGTAATTTTATTTTATGAAAGGGAAATGAATTTTTTTTTTTCGGATTTTCTATAATTTTTCAAGGACTATTTATAATTTTTTAAAATTTCATATAATATATCCAAGCCAGGCATTATTTTTTCAATAATACTATACTTACAAAAAAATCTTACAAAGATTTCCATACAAAGTGAGGTGGTAAAAAATAAATGGAAGAGTGAAACAAAAAGCCACAGTTATTAAATTCACTCTTCTATTTATTTTTTGCCACATCACTTTGTATAGAGATCTTTGTAAAATTTTTTTCTAAGTGTAATATTACTCTTATTTTTTAGGCTTTGGGTAAGTTGGGCCGGGCTAGTTTGTATTTCTAATTTGTGTGAAGTGGGTAAAAGAAAGAAAGATAAATTTGATAAGATGTTTCTTTGAATTAAAATATTTAAAACAATAATGATGTCAATGTTTATTTGTTGAATTTGCGCAGATCGAGTTTACCCAAGTATAATCGGAGAGAAAGAATGGAGGCATCGACAAAAAAAAAGGCTTGCGAAAGCCTTGTGCACGAAAATTACAGAAGATCTAGGCTATGAAAAAGCTTCCTCAATATTGAAGGAATCACTCCTTTTAGCGGCAGTATCAGGGGTTCACGAAGTTGTGGAAGAGATTATAAAATCATTTCCAGATGCAGTCTTGTATGCAGATCAAGAACGACATAATGCATTTCATTTAGCAGTCATTAACCGCCATAAATGGGTAATCAACCTCATATTCGAAATGAGTGGCCACAAACATTTGTTGTTGATGTCTCAAGACAAATTTGGAAATAATATCTTGCATTTAGCTGGAAAACTTGCCCCTCTATGTCAACTTAATCGCATTCCTGGTGCAGCACTAAAGATGCAGCGTGAGTTGCAGTGGTTTAAGGTACTAAGAAATTTATTTAAACTGTTTCAAAAGTCTTTTAATTTATTCTTTTGTTTGATGATATATCTTTTACAGGAAGTAGAGAAAATTGTACCGCCTACTATAAAAGAAGATAAAAATTCTGAAGGAAAAACTCCGGCAATGGTATTTGTTGAGGAACATCAGGATCTTGTTAAAGAAGGTGAAAAATGGATGAAAGATGCAGCCACCTCTTGCTCAATAGTAACAGTACTCATTGCTACAGTAGTATTTGCTGCAGCAATTACAGTACCAGGTGGGAATAACCAAGATGGCGAGCCAAACTTTTACGAATTGTCGGCCTTTTTTATCTTTGCCATTGCCGATGCAATGTCTTTGTTCTCATCAATAGCAGCCGTCTTCATGTTCATGTCCATCCTTACTGCACGCTACGCGGAAACTGATTTCCTATTTGCCCTGCCCAAAAGACTAATATTGGGTCTTTTTATGTTGTTCCTGTCCGTAACAGCCATGATGGTAGCCTTCGGTGCCACTGTTTATTTGGTGAATTTTGATAACAAGAGTAATCAGGCAGGGCAAGACTGGGTATTTTGTGTAGTAATGGGATTGGCTTTCTTGCCCGTGTCCATGTTTGCCTATTCGCAATTTCCCCTCTTGGTGGACTTGACCTTTTCCACCTATGGCCCCAGCATTTTTGGCAAGCACAGCACAGGTGTCTTATACAAGAAAGGTGAGTAAAAACTACAAATTAACGGTGTTATATATTGTCCAAGTTTTATATTTCAAGTGATGTGAGATTATTATTTAAAATTTTAAGACTTGAGTCTTGAAATATGAAACTATGTTCTACTGATATTAGTCTTTACTAGAGTAATAAACGTATCTGTTATTAGAGTTAAAGAGATCTTTAAGTGTGAGAGTGATTTGATAATAAAAACTTTGCATCTTTGTATTTTGTGACAAAAACTCTACTATTATTCTTGAATTGTGAATTTTAATTGGGTGAATCATGTAAAATTGTTTATATTTAATACGTTTCCGTTTATTAACCGTTTCATTTATCTCTTTTCTCCATTTCTTTGATTTTTAGTTTTTAATTATATTTTTGTATCCATTCATGTGATCATGTCGTAGTAATTGTTCGATATTTTCTACAAGAACTGGTATATTTGCTTTGTTATTTATAAAAATTTTATGAGTAAACTCTAATGTACATTACTATATAGTTCATTCTGTGATACAGATGTGCTTAAAGAAGTTTTATTTCCTCCATCTATTTTGATATTAAATAGATAAGAAAATAATTTTTGCTCAATTGAGAGAGCTAGAAACATCTAAAGTTCTAATAGAACCTTTTACGCAAATAATCATCTTCCCACTTCAATAGAAATCTAGGAAATATATATGAGCTTACAACCCTACTTTCTTACTAAATAACAAAACACGTTCCAACTTAAGCAAACTAAAATACATATTCAAACCCAACTAAAGAATCCTAAATACGTGGTTGACTAATTCAACTAAAATAAACTCATCTATATCATAATCTAATTTATTTAAATTACTAAGATAAACTCAATCTTAATTAACAAATAAATCCCTGAGAAAACTCCTAAAATACAATTTAATTAACATTTACCCATTATCAAAATGGGTACGTAACATTCTGCAAATTTGGTAGAATTGTCTGCCCAATTTCAGAATTCAGACAATCTTGAAGTTTGCTTAAATTCCATTTTTATATCAAAGGAGAGTGAAAATAACTGAATTAAAGCTTATCCTTCCCCTAAGGATCGAACATGAATGGCTCGCCAAAAATGATGGCTAATAAACCACCAAGCTAAGCTCTGGAGGCTTATTGAAAAATGCAATTCTTTATACATTAATTCATTTTCTTCGTGTGTAAAATTGGGCCCACCGCACTAATAAGTAAACACTAGTCGATGCATTTCAATTTAGGTAAGTCACTGATCATCAATTTGGAGACTTTATAAATAGAAGGAAGATATCAAGGCTGATCTTCATATGATCTGTTATCTAGAATTGGGCCATAAATAAAAGCATTTTAAAATGTCTTAATCTGTTTAGATTCTTGCCCTGATTTTGTTCACAATTATAGGATGCATATAACAAGTCCATATTTGAACCAGAAAGAAGGACGGGTTGCCGATTGATCATGATTATTTTTTGTTATCTCAATTGCTTAGATTTTGTATTTATAGCTTGAGTAATGCTATTTTTACAAAGACACATACAAAGGAGGCATACAAAGATAATCTCCACCCTTGATTTTCATGATTTTTCTCTCTCTCTCTTTCTCTCTTTCTCTTTTTCCGTTTTTTCTTTGTTTTTTTTTTCTTTTGGATGATGTCACTTTATAATCCTCTTTCTATGGGTCTTTGTAAGGATAACATTTTTCTTATAGCTAAAGCCTTAATATCTATACCTTTTTTTTTTTCCTCTGTTTTTTACTCTGCAATTCCCCTGTTTCTCATGCTTCCGCGTTAGAACATTGTTGGTTGTCGCCAATGTTAGCACTAAAGACTAGTTCGGCTAGTGACATCTCGTCCAATCGGGTTGCAATGTCGCTAAATGTCGCTAACTCTCAATTCCAACAACTCCTCTAGCCATTATTTTTTATTTTTTTTTTTTGTCGCTTGATTATTGGTTTATGAGTATTTATGTCCATTAATTTTTGTTTTAATTAAAATTAACTTGGCAACTAATGATTATATTGAGCCTTTAAATACATTTTGAAATTTATGTAATCATTAGTAAGTAATGAAAAAAAGACTCCCAAATTGATAATATCCACTTCTTTTGTAATCTTAGGTTATTGGAGATGGTGATTTGATCTGAGGACAGGGTGTGTAAAACGTACCTTTACTTATATATGGATCATAAAATAGAAGTAATTTTTTTTTTTTTTTCTTTTTAGTGACGTTATACCACTGTAGTATTATAGATGTTTTCTTATTTCAGAGGTTCAAATAAAGGAGACTTTAACACCAGCCTTGGTGAAGGCAATGGAGAGTTGAAAGAATGGCATCACATGCCCAAAGGCACACCACGGAAGCATCACTACTTGAAAGTCACCAGCCATTAATTTGTTTTCTTCTAGTGTGAAATTCGGCGTCGTCTCTGCACTTATGAGTAAACACTTGCTGATGCATTCCAATTCTGGTAAGTTATTGATATTAATTTGGAGACTATAAATAGAAGGAAGACAGCAGGTTGATCCTCATATGATCTGTGTTCCAGGATTTGGTAACAAATTAAGTTTTGTCTCAATGAGATAAAAATTGTAATTGAAAATAAGCATAGAGAAGTATATGTCTTTACATTTTCAACGGGTTAATTTCATTAACCTTGAGAGATAGATAAGTATCAAGTCCCTCAATGTTTAAAAAAGTCTTACTGAGTTTTGTGACAACGGTTTCTGCCATTTTAACAATGATGATTTATGATGCATTTGACGCAAGTTGTTATATCAGATTGCATCATAGAAAGGAGTTATCAATTGGTCGCGATTGTTTTTTATATTCTCAACCTGCTCAGATTTAGTATTTTACTAGATGGAAGGCCTGCGCTTTATAAAGGAAAAATAAAGAAAATCCTACAAATGACCAAAGTATAAAATCAAATGGCATCATCATTAAGCAGAAAAGAATAGGCTATACTGAAATCAGCCTTTCAGTTCCTACAGAAAAAGAAATCAAGAGTCTAGATATAACAACCCCTTCCCTAAAAAAATACCAAATCCTTCCAGCCCTCCTTGTTCAACCGCCAAGAAGCAAGGCCCTTAGAAGAAACACTTTGGGAGTAACTGGCATCGAGGGAGTATGTGAGAAAGATCTAAAATAGATAAACCTCATAACATAAAGAGGGAGTGGCTGTTGCCCGCCTTGCCCGTTGTTGTATCCATCATATGGCTTCGTCAACTTATTAGATTTTCTCTTGATAACCGCAATCCAAGTAATCGCTTCCAACAGTACAGCGATCCCACCCAAGACTGCAATCACAATGATGTAAACTGTTTTCCACTTTTCTGCATGATTCAAGATGTCCAGACCTTTAAAAATATTGAGGATGCCAAGGACCAGTATTGCATATCCAACACCGTGGTGATAAATATTCCAGTAAAATCGATACTTGTGGTCCTTCTTTGGTCTTAAGAACAATGCAAAAATCTAATAACCAAAAACAGAGTTGCCATCAAAACATACATCAACTAAAATTTAGTATCAAAGCCAGTTGGGATTACCAAAAGTAAAATGTTTGAATAAATATCTATCGAGATCAATTCAATCCACATAGTTCTAAAATCTGAAAATTACTTCTTCCTTTTTGCATATACTCAAAACAAATTTGAGCAATGTTTGTACTATGTCTGTCCCACCAATAACAGGGGAATTTAAAAGGGAAGAACAACAGAACCGAAAAAGAATTAACTTGAGCAGTTGCAAGGCAGAAGAGGGCAATTCCAATGTTACGGTGGTGGTGGGAGTAAGTAACTCCTTTTGATTCACTTCCAAGCTTGAGACCAATTCCCCAGCCAGCAACACCAATAACAGGAGAGATAACCCTGTTATTGTTCAAAATATAATTAGGGTTTCATCTTCCCCTAACAAAAGAGATTTACTCCATTCTAAGAACAAAGAAATAAACAGAGAAGAAAGAAAACATATTTAGACTTGAAATTAAACAAAAATCAAACTCTTAAATCTGATCTTTAGTCTTCAAGCCCCAAGAATGTGTCTTCTCCTCTCCAAAATATGCAAAATTCCTTCCTTGACAATTAATCTCAATTATACTTAAATACCCTTTTCTGCCACAGCCAAATTTAAGTCACCATAGCCTAGATTGTGATGTTTTCTAATTTCTTTGTTTTATCTTTGTTCCACCACCATGGCCATGGTGAACTACCAAGGCATGGCTGTGGCCTTCAAGAATGTTAGGTAATCTCAACTTCTTCAAGTTTTAAGTCCCAATTTCATTCCTATGCTCCAATCTACTCAATCAAAGCCTGAAAAATACAAAAACTATCCAAATCAATAGCTATTCATTCATATCTCAAACATAAGAAAAACTAACATCAAAACAAAGAAAACAAATAAGAAGTTAACTAAACTAACATCAAAACAATCCTAAAAACACTAAAATTATGCAACTTATCAGTTGTCGTAACACTTCAAACTTCACCCTTTGGTTGAACTTCAAACTACCACAACAAGCTCCACATCAATGAGACCACTTGGTCAGCCGTGAGGATCTCTCAAGGATCAATCACCAAAGAAGCTCTTTAGTTGAAGCAGCTTGAAAAACCATCAAGCAACATCTACGTAACCAATGTAGAAGCAAGGACCAAAAACTCACGGTTTTGAGGAAGGTATTTGTAAGTCTACTTAAGCATATGAAACCTGATGTAAAACAAAGAAAAAAAAAAAAAAAAAAAAAAAACCTTAGAATATGCAAAACATTTCAAAGGAATTACAGGCTTAAATGAAATGCATTGGAGAAGAATATAAAGAAACTTCCGGCCAATACATGGGGATAGCTGGCCAACAAGGTGCTTTATTGTTTTACCTCTTGGAAAAGTTTCTAACAACACTTTCTTGGGACCACAGACAAGGCAAACAAACTTTCTAGCACATTATGTGAGCTAATGACAAGTTTCAATGGACCACCAAAATATCTCACAAGGATACATAGCTGCAAGCAAGTGTAATCACATGGACAATAATGTAGTGACACAGAAATACTAGATCGATTAGCATATAAGAAGATGTCACGATATCAACAATCAGTGTTATCACACTGAGTTCAAATTTGACAAAAATACTTACAGTTATGTAGTATTTGTAGCAGTTGTCTACGTACCGGGTGATTACGACGATGATGGAGCCACATAGGATAAGAAGGGCAGTTACCCAAAAAATTCTTTAAATACAGTTAAACCTTGATAATTAATATCTTTAGCATCATGCAAATTTATTAATTAATTGATATATTATTTAATCGTATAAATTAATAAATTATTAATTTATCGGGGCATTCTTTGTTTTCTTTTTCCAAAACAATGAACTTAATGCATGTAAATATTTTGATAGTTAATGTGGTAAGGGAATGTCTCATAGTTAATGTGGCATAGCAATTAGTCTATAGGAAATTATTTTCTCCTTGTAAATATCAGACATTATTCTTCTTGTTAATAAATAAATGGTGTTTTTTTCTTAGCACTCAAGCAATTCACAAATCCCTTTCAAATCTTCTCTCAAGGTTTCTGAAGTTCAAGTTGTTACTAGGGTCATCTCCTAATTGAGTCATGTATATATATAATTTTAATTATATGGAGTTATTAATTTATATATCAAGTGGTACCTATGTGTTTTCTTTAAAAATGTATTATCTATAAATTTAGCAAAATATTAATTTATCACATTGGTCCCTCAACGACCTTTAAAAATATTTAATTAAGATATTAATTTTTCGAGTAATTTTCAAGGTTTAACTATATATTGCATTTTAAATATCCTTACTTGAAGTTTTACTTGTTTCCAAATCCTATTTTTCATCTATACAAAGTCAGCAACAAGTATAAATATGATATATATTTAGATTTTATATTAAAATATCGGTTAACTTTTTTAACACTTAGAACAAGTTAAGTATGGTTAAAGAAATTTAAAAAAAATTATGAGTTGTCCTTAAATTTTATTATTTTATTTTTGATATATTTATTTATTTTATATCATTTTGTTTTCATGACGATTGAAATCATTGAGATGGATGACGTGCCACACCTCATGTAATTCAAGTCTTTGCTCGTGAGAAACATACATGTAACTAATTTTTGAAATTGTAGTCATAAATTATTTGACACCTGTCCCTTGCTTTTTAAAAGTCCTACTTTTTGCATTTTATAATAATATATTCTCTACCAACATTTTGATCTCCATTTTCATTTAGAGATAATCCAAACATTTCCCAGGTAAATCAATGTATACAAATTTATTACATAAAATATCACAAAAAAAACAAATCAATGACCTTGTCTATATTTTTTCTACTGTAGTAGACCATGGATTATAGGTGCCCGAGGATTATAAACAAAAATATAAATTAAGTTTTCAAAATTAGCAGTATCAAATTTAGTATTAAAAAAATAATCTATACAAAAAGTAATTTTCTATATGATAATAAGGTAGATAATTTTGCCAAAAATATTAAAATAAACAGAATAATATATTGGTTGTTTAAAAAAAAAAAAAAAAAAAAAGATTTGAGATAATTGGATAAAGATGGAGGAAACACCTATTTATAAGACAAATTTTATTATTTATTTCATCTATCACAAACGGCAATATAACAAATTTATGGCAAATGGGATTACTAATACCCATTTGATAAAGGTGTAAAAATTGTCATTTGAATTAAGTTTGGAAATCTTAAACTGATGAGGTACAAGTTTGCATAAAATGTATACCCAAGTCAACTCATAAATGTTTAATAAAAAATATATAAAAATGTATTAATAAAAAGTTGCGTCACATTAGTTTGTAGATAAAATTTAGATTTTACAAAATAAAAATATATAATAAAAAATTAAAGTATAAATGATATAAATACTACTTGAAATGGATGACAACAAACTTATTTGAAAGTCTTCAATACAAGACATAAAGTTTTCTTTTGGTACCTCAAGACAAAATTATTTTCCACAAGGTCAAGGTGGTCTCAATCCTATGAATAGTTTGATATCGGGAAATTTCTTGAATAATTAAATTTAATACCTAAATTCATTAAAAGAATTAAGGAGAGAAAATTCAAGCATTTTTTGTTATAAAAAATATATTAAAGAGTAATGCTATAGCCACCGAAGGTTGCGCATCGAATCTGTGCACCGAATGACGTGACAAAATCCTGACCGTTGATTCATTATCAGTTAATATTAATCACGATCAAGATTTTGTCACGTCATTCGGTGCACAGATTCGGTGCGCAACTTTCGGTGGCTCTATCTTTTCGATATTAAAAGAAACAATCAATTTACTTAACCATAATCAAGTCTTGGATTATGATAAACGATATTTTTCATTGTAATGGTAATTTCTAAAATTCTTTAAGGATTAGACTGTGTTAGTATATATATTAGTATCTTATATATCCTTAGAATATTGTTAGTCTATATATTAGTATCTTTATATCCCTAGAATATATGATATTTCTGTAATTAAGCTATAATTTCCTATAATTATGCTAGGTTAAGATCTTTCCATATAATGTATTTCCTTATTAACTTTGCCTTCTCCATTATATATAGAGGTCTCCTTTGTATAGTTTTTACACACAAATATATAATCAAATGATTCCTCAAACTCTCTTTATTTCAACATGGTATCAAAGTCACTACTCTATCTTCCTGTCCATGCAAGCCATTTCTTAATGTTTCCTTCTCACCAACCTTGGCTTTCCCTACACTGACAGTGAGATTTTCAGGTTTTACATCTGATTTTTTGCCCTTTTTATCAATCTGATCATAAACGGAACTTAAGAATTTTATCGGTGTTTTTGTGTCAAGATTTTCCCGATACTCTTTGCACGTGCCCCATACGCCTCTTGAATTTCGCATGTCTGACCTTATGCCACACATCTCTAGCAAATTTCAAGCCTGTTACAGCCAACTTCAAGCCCAATCCAGTAAGCCTTCCCAACCCATTTTTCTTCTTCTATAAATCACCCCATTCGGTTCAAGTCTAGCCCAAGTCCACCCGTTGACTCATTGACCATTGACTCATTGATCGTTAACCGTTGACCGTTGATCGTTGACCTATTGCGTCGTTAACCGTTGAACCCCCTAGTGTGCTGTCGTAGGCAACCAAGATTAAAAACCTTCCTAACCTAACTACTAAACTGTAAATAGGGTAAGCAAGGGTCGATCCCACGAAGAGTGTCTAGCCGAATTTTCGATGATGTGAATAAGGCTGGAGGGTTTTGAGTAAAACAGAAAACAATCTTAGCAAAAACAAAAACAATTCAATTCAAAATCAATTAATATAACGAAACTTGGTCTCTGTCAACATCCACCATTGGAATCTTACAACTGATCATTGATGCAAAAGTAAATAAATTCTTACTTTGAATATTCATTGTTGGAACTATTTTCCTGTCTCTCTTTAATTGTAATTAATTAGGAAACAAGCGATCTTAATTAATCTTATCATTAAACAACCCTAGACAAGTGCTAAAGATTTAATCTAATGACAGCCTTAAGAATTAGAGAAATCAATGAATCTAAACAACACAAACACAAGAGGTTGTATTTAATTTAGTTGAATGTTCTTCTTAAGATTACTAATTCCTGACGCGGCAAATTATTAATCCTAATTGCTTCACAAGTTAGAGGGATCAAACAATTACGGATTTGATATCAAACTTAGCAGTAGATTGCAACAAATAATACACTAGTAGGCCTCCTAGTAATTAAATGCATCAATCATGAAGATATGCACAGAATAACATTCAATACTCAAACACGAAAATTGAACACTAAAATAAAATAGATTAGATCTCACAGTTGGTTGATTCCGAGGTCTTTGTTTCCGATGACCAAGTTACAAAAGTTCCATAATCAAAACTCAAAAAGAAAGAAAAATTCCAGAGAAGAGAAGAGAGAGGCGTGGTCCCCCTCAAAAACCCTAATCTAATCCCCTTAACAAAAATCCAGTTCAAGTATTTGAATCCCACTAAATCTCCAAAAAGAAATATTCTAATATCCTAAAATAACATTAATCCTAATTTGATTCTCATTAATTGAAAATAAGATAAAATCCTAAAATAAAATAGGAAAGTGGTGATTCTGAGCTGTAACTTGCGTGCCACATGTCCTCAAATCTTCCAATAATAAACTGCCCAATTGATTTGCATGACAAGGCAGAAGGCTCCAAGACATCCAGTGCAGATGCGTCAACTTCAAGCTCGATTACAACCTTGATGCAGTGAGTATCTCTCCAAACTCAAAACATGAAAGTTGTAGATATATTTCTTATAATTCCACAGAATTTTGAATAATCTCAATTGGAGCTTGGATGAGAGAGTTATGCCCAGATTACGAAACAATGTCGAAACTGTCCGAATTCACTTAATTAGTTCCGTTTTGCAATTAACGCCTCCATTTGCATCCTAAATCAAAATAGAATAATAATGAGTACATTTAGGCAACAAATACGTATAAAAGACTAAACATTAAGGGGTTAAAAATGAATATTTTGCCATTCTCATCACAAACACCCCCCCCCCCCCCCCCCCCCCCCCCGCCCCCAAAAAAAAAAAAAGAAAGGTATGTCTCACTCCTCTCCCAACCTTGATACCATTGTTCGTCCTATTGATAAATTTTTTAGATGGCTCAAATTATAATATATGGGCTCAAAATATGGAAGTATTTCTTAGAGGACGAAAATTGTGGCGTTATGCTTCTGGTGATATTCTTGCCCCCAAGTAACAAGATGGTGAGAGTCTTGATAAGTTTGCATGTCAGCTTGAAGATTGGCATAGTATTCATTATAAAATATTGTCTTGGTTTGTCAATACTTCTGTTCCATCCATCCATAGCTTGCTTTCTAAGCTTGGTAATGCTCAAGCTGCTTGGGATTTTCTTGCTAAACGATACAACTATACTCATGATGCTTCGTTGCAGTTCCAGCTTGAGACTAAGCTTTATCAGATGCGTCAGGAATTAGGTCAGTCCATTGCTAATATTTATTCTCAAGTTGATAATCTTTGGGAACAGTTGTCTATTGCAGATCCTCACCTCAAATGTTCTGATCACATTGCGTTGTTTGCAACCTACCGTGATCATCGTAAGTTTATGCATTTTATGATGGCACTTCATGAGGATTTTGAATCTACTCGGGCCTCTCTTTTGCATTGCACACCTCTTTCCACTCTTGAGATTGCAGTTGCTTAACTTATTTTTGAAGAAAATTGTCATTCAACCATGAAGATGCAAACTCAAGATTCAGTTGTTGCTGCCATCCCTCAGACTACCTTTGGATCTTCTCTAGCCTCGGGTTGTTTCCCTTCTCAGTCCTCAAAGACTGTCTTTTGCAAATATTGCAAACATCCAAGTGACTCTGTTATGGAATGTCAAAAATTGAAGAACAAAAATCAGTCTTAGGCCCCTTGTTGCAAGCTATTACCGTGGCTCCAACTGTTCCTTTTGCTCTTGAGTCTACTTTTGAGACTTCTTCAGTGTCCACTACTCTCATTGCTACTGACATTGAGGCATTAATTCATCAGGTTTTATCCCGATCTTCTAGTGCTTTGTCTGTCACCTCAGGTATATCTCTTTGGTTTTTTTATTCTGCATGTTGTAATCACGTGACCTCTGTCACCCAATCCTATCATATGTACTACTGATGGTTCTCATTTATCTGTTAGTCAAATTGGGTCTATTTCCTCCCCTACCTTATTTGTTGACAACACCTAGCTTATTCCCAAGTTATCCTTAAATCTCCTTTCAGTTGGTCAACTTTGCAAATTAGGTCTTCAGCTTACCTTTTCTAATGATGGTGTTGATGTGTAGGATCCATAGACGGGTCAACTCATTGGGACTGGCCGTAAGATTGGACATCTGTTCAAGCTCACTTCTTTGCAGCTTCCATCTCATCTGTCTCGCTCCATTGTTACTCCTGCTATCTCTTCCTAATTATGGCATTCTCAGTTGGGTCATGCCTCTATACCTCGTGTTCATCTTTTGGCCTCCCAAGGTCACCTAGGTTTTATAGGTTTTGAGTCTTTTGATTGTGTTTTCTGTCAACTTGGCAAACAAACTCATTTATCTTTTAATAAAAGTGACTCTTTTTCGACTACACCTTTTGATTTGATTCACTTTGATATTTGAGGTCCTGCCCCCACTCTTACTGAGGGGAGATCTCGTTATTTTGTTATCTTTGTTTATGACTATTCTCGTTATACATGGCTATACTTGTTACAACATCGATCTGTGCTTGTTCGTGTGCACCAAACTTTTTACAAAATGGTACAAACTCAATTTTCTTGTACAATTAAAGCTTTTCGTTTAGATAATCCATTGAATATAATGAGAAAACTCTCTTTGAGTTCCTGAATCAACAAGGCACAGTGTCACATCGTTCTTGTCCCTATATCTCTCAACAAAATGGTTGTGCAGAACGAAAACATTGTCATATCCTTGATACTGTAAGAGCTCTTTTACTTTTTGCTTCTTTACCTGAAAAGTTTTGGGGTGAAGCTGCTCTTACTGCTATGTACACAATCAATCAGGTACCCTCACCTATATTCCACAACAAATCTCCTTATGAGTTTCTCTATGGTATGGTTCCTAACTATTCCTTACTTCGTGTCTTTGGTTGTGCCTATTTTGTTACTCTTCATCCTTATGAATAGACCAGACTGGAACCCCATTCTCGGTTATGTTGTTTTCTTGGTTATGGCTTAACTCAAAAAGGTTACCGTTGCTATGATCCTATCTCCAAATGTCTTCGAGTCTCTCGTCATGTGGAGTTTTAGAAACATAAACTGTTTACTAGCATATCCACGTTCTCCCCTTCATCCTCTAACCACTCACTCATATTTATTGATCCCTTTATTGCTTTGTTTTTTGACTCTTCTGCAAAGATTCTAAGCTCCTCAGACAGTTCTTCCATTGCTGCACTCAATCCAGTTGATGCGTTTGATGGACCACCTGCCACACCACCCATTCCTCAATTTTCTCCACTCCCTAAACCTCGTCGTTCCAGTCGGGTAAGTGTTCCTCCTACTCATCGTCGTGATTATCACTGTTTCTCTATCCTTGCCACCCTCCATAAACCTCACAATTATCGTGAGGCTCGTACTGACCCTCTTTGGCAGCAAGCTATGTCTGATGAATTGAATGCTCTTGTCAAAACACAAACTTGGGATTTGGTGGACTTGCCTCATGGTAAAGCTATAGTGGGATGCAAGTGGATTTATAAAATCAAGACTTGAGCAGATGGATCAATTGAACGCTACAAGGCTTGACTTGTTGCTAAAGGGTTCACCCAGGAGTATGGGATTGACTATGAGGAGACTTTTGCTCCTGTTGCTAGACTTACATTTGTCAGATCTTTATTGCAGTTGCTGCTATCTGGCGTTGGGAACTTTTTCAAAGGGATGTCAAAAACGCCTTCCTTAACGGAGATTTTATTGAAGAAGTTTACATGCAACCTCCACCTGGCTATGAGCATCCTCACATAAAGTTTGTCATAGTACTTTATGAGCTCAAACAGGCTCCTCGAGCTTGGTTTGAGAAATTTTAGTCAATGGTTTCTCAACAAGGCTTTCTTTCTAGCCCATATGATTCTACACTTTTTCTTCGCACTACTGGGGCAGGTACTATCCTTCTTCTTCTCTATGTAGATGAATGATTATTACTGGTGATTATATTGTTGGTATTCAAGATCTTCAAAATTTTTTTAGTCAGAATTTTGAGATGAAGGATTTGAGACATCTTAACTACTTCCTTGGCCTTGAAGTTACTTCAAATCAGGATGGATATTATCTCACTTAGGCAAAATATGCCTCTGATTTACTTTCCAAAGCTGGGTTGACAGACAGCAAGATAGCCACTAG